GGCCTCAATGCCTCAGTGACAACCTTCATTCCCTGAGTTTTTAGACTAATGCCTTGTAGAGTTTCTTCTCAATTTTAATTCTCAGTATCCATTTATGACTTGTTAAAAGAAGGAAATGAACAGTGCCTGAAAAGTGGTCCTCCAGCTACAGCCCAAAGAGCTAAACTACTAGGGATGTCCAATATCTAGGTGATTTCAAATGATGCTCTTAGCTCCAAAGAAAGCACAAGACTATGAAAAGAAGAGGGGTTGTTTGTTTGTTTGTTTTCCGTGTTTCTCTGTACAATGAGTCCAAAGCAGACAAGTGGAGGAATAACTTGCAGACTCTGGGTTAAGGTTTCCCATATATTAACTATTCAGCTCTTAAAAAGTCAAAAGTTCTCAAAGACACGTTGACTTCAGTCCATGTCAGGTTTCCTCACTCCTTCTCACTCACCAGAGACAACTCATCACTGTTCAAATGAGCACAGACGTCTCTCATAGACCTTCTGATGCCTTTGAAGGTGGTGGCAACCCTTACTCTCAGGTTCAATATTCAAACCACAACCAGTAAGGCATAGGCACTGGCCAACCAGAAAGGATACGATGGTAATTATGGTGTAGCTGCCTCAGCCTGGTGACATTTCACCTTGTTTGCAACCCCGTGATCTCTATGTGCTAAGACTTTGGGAAAGGGAATTTCTTAATTTACATGGGGAATCCAATGTTTGCAGTTGCCCTAAGGACTCATGTTATGAGCGTAGAATGAAACCAGCAGGTTCTGGCAGCTTAAACAACCCGCCAAGAAGAAGACTACTTTATGGCCATGCATAAAGACCTGGGGATACTTCCTCTCTGTCTACATGGTGGAGAAAAAATAGGGACTTTGGTACACATGTGTTAAAATATGGCTAACCCCTAGAAGAAGTTACTAGTTATCAAATTTCTTTTTAGTCTAGTATTTCTGGTCTCTGCCATTCTCTAAGACCTTACTTGAAAAGTTTCATACAATTACATGACATCTATTCATGGACTCACTTAATTTTATGAATACCTAGGATTCATGGTGGTATATCTAGTCTATAATGATGACTCGCTCTCAGCAATTGCAGACAGCCTTACCCAAGGTAAGACTTCTGGTACACGGTGACGTCTAGATGTCCTAACAGACCATTTTTCATCCACATGGCAAACATTTAATGAGGACCTCCCAAGGTACCATATCTACTTGGGCATTCATAGCTACAATACAATGGACCACACCCAAATCTTGATGTTAGAAACTCTGAGTTCTAATTGCATACTCTGTTATTTCCTACATGGGTAACCTTGACTAGTATCCTAGTGGCTTCAATTATAAAATGTGGATAAAAAGATATACTTCTCAAGGTTGTTGGGAGATAAATATTGAAGTCAAAATTTGTGAAAGTAACTTGTAAATTTTAAAACACTAAATGCTCCGGTGCTTTTATCATCATACCATAGTTCCTCAATGGGAATCAACCATGCTGGAGTCAGTAAGGACACGAATCAATACATGCAACTCTCCCAACTCTTCCCTTGGCAAGTACCGAGTGGTCCTTTGATATGATAGCAGCAGCCACTATACCAGGGTCTCTGTCCTCTATTGTTAATGGACAAGAAAAAGCTCCTTTTGCCTTTTAAGGAATGAAAAAAAAAATAGATTCACATTTTAATTTACATGTTTTTCCATCTGATCATTTATTTTCTGCCTGCCGTCTCTTTGGGACAGATTTTTCACTTTAATTCTTTCAAGAATCCCTTCTGGGATTTCACACATGCTGTTATAAATAATGCTTTCCTTGTTCTAATGTCAATCGGGTGAGTGGTAGGACAAGCTAGTAAGAGTTCAGACAGGGTTCACAAGTTTTCTAAACCCGTTTAGAACATTTCTGAACTTTTTTTGCAGCTCTTTCTCATGATTTTGAAGCACATCACAAAACTAGACCAAAAAAAAGAAAAAAAAGAGCCATCGTTGTTACAAATTACTGTCACATTCTAGTCACAGTCACTCAATGTTTTGGGGGCCACACAAAACCACACGCTGTGCAGCAACAAACACAATGAGACATTTGTTTTGTATTGTGCTACTTGGCAACTTGATCTCATACACTTGCTTAAATATTTGTGAGATAGAATGCAATCCCATGTATGACACTGGGAGTCAGAATTTCTGTTCCTGACCACTCTACATGCCATGGTGACCCAGGAACACTCCAGTGATAAGAGTTGAGTCAGGCCCCATGATCTTCTCTAAACTCACCATGTTGAACTGATGCAAGGTAGAAAAGTAAGTTGGTTGGGAATAGACTCGAACTTAGCAATTTTTATGTTCTTCAAGACACTGGAGTTCTAATTTTTGTGGTGCTATTAACCAGCTTTGGCGGGTCCCTTAAATCTGGCTTATCTGTATATTGATCAAATTTGAAAGATGAGGCTAGCTCTTGGTTACTTCTCACACAAAATACTATAGCTCTTTAATCACCCACCACCACTGTGTCCCCATTATCATTCCTCTATACATAGTTCTTCACCATTTACAAAGAATGCTTGCTAATTATCTCATTTGAAACCAACAGTTACTCTTCGGAGTAGAGATTGGCTTTCCAACATGTTACAATGAGGCTCTTAAAGTTCAGTGAGTTGCATAAGTTACATAAAATCACACACGAAATGCCTGCCCACTGGACAGCTTGTATTTATTCTGATGGGTCACTCTGTATTGCTGGT